GCTACCCCGATTCTGAATTGGGACAGCCGGATTCTGAATCGGGCGGATTCCAATCTGGGGTACGACATATATATATATAATAATAGTCACTATAATCAATATGTATATACGCACATACATTTAACTGATTTGAACTAATTATTTAATATTCAATTTAACCACAAGTATTTTACTATCAGGTTTTTGCTTGATTTGGTCGAACAATAGGTGTCACAGCTGCGATAACAATGCAAAAACCTTATGCATGTTTGGTGATCAGGATTCGTGATTGTGATTGCAGTACAAGGACCTTTTGCATTTTTAGTGATTAGGCTCCATGACTACGATAGCAATGCAAGGGCCTCATGCATGTTTGGTGACTAGGCTCCACGATTGTGATAGGAGTTCAAGACCTCATGTTGATAATTAGGTTCAACGGCTACAGCAATGTGCAAGGATCTCGTGTTTGATATTTAGGTTCTGCGACTGCGATAGCAGGTCTAGGATCTCATGCTCAATAATTAAGCTCCGCGGCTCGGTAGTAATACAAGGGCTTCTTATTTGGTAAATAGGCTGCAGCGCGTCAGCAGCACAAGGACATCATGTTTGGCAATTAGGCTCCGCTGCTTTGATAGCAGTGCAAGAACAGGTGGATTAGTGGCGCCATAAAATATCGTGGTTACGTAATCGCTGACCCGTTTCCGACCCATTTTATAGTCCGAAATTAATACAGATTAAATAACAATAACATCTACATTATATTAAATTAATATATTAATCATATATACGTATCAGTATAACATTGGCATGTGTTCAATATGTTAATTTAATATAATGTAGATGTTATCGTTATTTGATCTGTATTAATTTTGAACTATCAAAAGGGTCGGAAAAGGGTCGGCGATTACGTAACCGCGACATTTGTATGGTACCACTAACTTATCTTGCAATAACCTCATATTTAGTAATTTGGTTCCATGATTTCAATCAGCGTTGGACGATGATGTCTTATGACTCATATGACTTATATGAATTGTCATATCACAATATCATATATATGATTTTATGATTCAGTATCATATAAACATGTCATTTGCCAATATGATTTCAATAGCCGTGAAAAGATCTCATGTTTAATAATTGAGATCTGCTGTTGTGATAGCAGCGTAAGGACCTATGGGTTAATAACAACTTATGTTGCTACACAACACAATTTAATCGATCCTCGTTACAGCTATGTGATTTCTTCTTGGCTATAGACTAGTTTCAGAGTAATATGGTTGAGATAGTGCCTGTAATTGATACGTAGCAACCAGAATCCCATATGTTTTTATATTTCTCCTTTTATGGAAATGAAGTCATCAAATCGAGCAATAATAATAAGGATACTAAAAATTTTCAGATTACTATTATTATTCGATTTCTGATTGTTCTGATTATAATAATAGGGGTACATAAGAATTTCTGATTATTGGATTTATTAGATTTCTTGATTATAATTATTTGATTTTTAATTGTTCTGACTCATCCGATTTCCTATATAGGCATATTTTCACATTATAGCACGCTAAAATGACTAATTGCATAGCTAATATTAGCGGTCATAATTTCAATTGGTCAATTCTACCATTACATAATGCAATATTTGTCTTTTGTACAAAATTTAAAGATTAAGTCAGATCTGTACATGCATTAATCTGCATACTGCACCTCTCTACGTATCGGACATATATAGCAAATTTGGCAAAATTTGCCGAACCATGTCTATCAATGCTGTTTATAGTCAATATCAAGTACGAATAATCTAAAAGTTCAATAAAACAAAAATCATGATTTTGCTACTAAAATTCTACTGACTCGACCCCAAAAGTCGGACCTTTATGAAACTCGGTCTAAAGTCAAGTCTGAGACTTGATTCAATCTGCACGTGTGTTTTTTTTAAATAATAATGTCTTGATTATGCATCAATAATTGCGGTAATAACATATTTAATCTAATATGTAACCATTTGTGACACGGCCTCTTAGGGTCTTTTGAGTCTAGATTTGGCTCGTTAAAGCCTGTAAGAAGTCGATAAAAAAATTTTGTCAAATTTTGTCGGCTATGTTTTAAAAATTTTCTAAAGTTATTCTGTTTTTGTTCAATAAAGTGTTCAGAATGGAGTCGTACCGTCTACTGCACTAATTTTGTACAATGTTTATGCCTAACGTTGTCAACCCAGAAATTTCTTTTTTTACATCATAATATAAAAATTGTACAATATCGGAAAATCGACTCCATTCCGAACATTTTTCGGACAATGCTTACATTAAACTGAACAAACTTTTTTATTGGGGTAAATGATCTGCTCGGACCAGACTTTTAACATTTCTATATGGTACGGATTTCAAATGCTAAGTTTTTCCGTTTACTGATTTGTCTCTAAATTTGAATCAAATGTAAATCTCGGTACAATATTAACCCTGAATTTTCAAATATACGAAATACTGTGTTAATATGAATATCTAATGTAAAAACGTATAAAATGATGAGAAAGAATGGTTGCAGGAAACATTAGCATATTGTATTCACTTCTAAAATACTTTAAAAGTTGTATTCGTTTCTAAAGTATTTTAAAAATTGTATTCACTTTTAAGAATGTATTATTACTTAACAGCAATTGCCTTCGTTAGCTACATTTTATATAAGTGTTATATTTATCCCTTATATTTGTCTCCATTACTTAAAGTTCCTGGTCCACCTGTTGATAATTTTCTTCTTGGACATTATGCTTCTATATTGAGTAAAAATATAAAGGAAGCTTTTTATCACTTAGTAAAACAATATGGTGGAATAGTTAAGTATCATGGCTTATTGAGTAAACCCTATATCTTAGTTGCAGATCCAAAACTTGTCCAAGAAATACTATCAAGTCATTCATATGAATATCCGAGAGATATCTTTAATAAACCTCCGCTCAAGGATGTTTTAGGTGAAGGTCTTTTATTTGCTGATGGAAATGTTCACAAAAGACAAAGAAGATTGATGTCTCCTTTATTTGCTTATGCCAATATCAAGGTATTCTTTTAAGAATGATAATATTACAATTTGTTAAAGAATTAATTTTATCATTATATCTAATTATTATTTTAACATTTTAAGGAAATGCTTCCAACAATCGTTCAAGCAGGACACAGATTAAAAGATATCTGGATTAAACAAATCGGTAATGAGAAATCGAAAAGAATTACAGTTACAGAATTAATTCCAAAGACAACTTTAGATATTATTGGTCTTGTTGGTAAGCATTAATATTTATTCATTTTACATATTAGTTTTATCAATGACGTTTCTAATAGTAATCGCAATCATATCGTTTTAATTTAAATAGGGTTTAATTACGAATTCAATTCTACTACTTCGGAATCTGAATTAGCTCAAGCATATAATGCATTAGCTAATAACACTAACTCGTCTATATACCTGGCTCTTCTTCGTTTCTTCCCTTCACTCAGAAAAATTCCAACATCTCATAATAATAAACAGCTTAATTCTATTAAAACTATCAATAATACTACTGAGAGACTAATTGCAGAACAAAGAAGTAGTCTTGTTCGAGGAACAGATTTATTGTCATTGTTGGTAAAAGCAAATGATAGCTTACCTGTTGATCAACAATTAACGCATAAAGAATTAACTGGTCAGGTAAGAATCTATTTATAAAATTATTAAAATATATAAAAATATACCAAATATATTATAAAATTTTTATTTTTATTAAATTTATTTGAAATATAAATGAATTAAACAAACTTTAGGTTATGACATTACTCGTAGCTGGGCATGAGACTACTAGCACTGCAATATCTTGGGCACTATACTTTCTCGCAAAAAGTCCTGATGCCCAGGATCGTCTTCGTAAAGAAGTTCTTGAAATACTTGTTGACCGTGATCATTGCCCAACTTTTGATGAAATTGAACATATGAAATATTTAGATTGTGTCTTCAAAGAAGCTTTAAGGCTTATTCCGCCTGGTATAGTTTATAGCTCTTTATACTTTAAATTATTTTTATTTATTTAACTATATATTATTCTAATTCTAATTTATTATAAATTAAAGTGCCTACACTCTTTCGTACTACTACAAAAGATGAAATAATGAATGGTTACCTTATTCCAAAGGTATTTTTCTAATTAACCTTTAATAGTGCACTTTATTTGATAATGAAATAGTATTTAACTTTACAATTTTTTTCTTTTAGAATACTTCATTATGGATTCCTATTTATGCAATCCATCGTAATCCTTTAATTTGGGGTGATGACGCTGAACATTTTAATCCATCTCGGTGGCTTAATCCGGAACTAAAATCAAAAATAACTAATTATACTTACTTACCTTTTGGTGCTGGCCCACAAAATTGTGTGGGGATGAGAATGGCTCATTTAGAACTTAAAACTATTTTATCTATAATTATTAGAAATTTTGAGTTTAGATCGGTTGAAGGTTTTTCTGTTAGAATTGGAGAGTCGGTTTTATCTAAACCAATTCCTGGAGTTGATTTAATGGTTTCAAAAGTAGATTGTTAATTCTTTTTATACAAGATCATTAATATTTAGTTGTTTTGATTTATATTTTTTATTTTTAAACTATAATACTTTATCAGTTTTTAAATTATCTTAGATATGCACTAATAAAATTACATCGGATTTTTATATTATAAGAAATTGGTAGTGCCTTGTTCAATTTTAGAAACAAAATTAATAAATTCTAGAAAGTTTCACAAAGTAAATGAAATTTGAAAGTTGCTCCTATTTTCGTGGCTTAAACGGAGAGTAAATTCATGATTTCAACAGCGGTCAGTGTGACGAATAATTTTTGTCACATGTTTCTTTCTTTCGTATTTGTCTCGTTCATTAATTTGGCATTATTTTGTATTATTGGTGGCTTAAAACGTGTAACGGTGTAGACGCTCAAAATTTAGCGTTAACGCTCAATCTGTAACATATTTCAGCACAAACGCCAAAGATATAGCGTAGACGCTCTAATTATAACTTAAGTATTCTGTAAAATTAAGATTTATATAAGGACATGCTCTCGAAGGATAACTGGTGCTCTCTAAATTTTCCCTAAGATAAAAAATACGTAAATTCATACTCTTTGATAAAAATGCCTAATAAATCCTAAATATCTGAATTCTCTATTTTATAACTAGGTTCACATGGCCTATTTAACTTCAACCATCGGAGATAAACTCGACATGATCGATCCACGCTCTCCATTCGATGGTGACAGTAGATTCATAATTTCAACAGTTGGTGAGCTTACAGTGAAAAGTAGCGATTTTAATTTTAGTATGGGCTTGAATTTTGAAAGTAAGTTCGTAACCTCTATAGTGGGCGGGTTCATAATATTTATAATGGACTGATCCGCAAGACTATAATAATAACTGCTGAACTGGGTTTGTAATTTTAATAGTTTTTGATAGTAGGTGGGTTCACGATTCAAGAAAGGCAAGATTTCAGTAGTGGGCAGGTTTGTAATTTCAAAAATGAATAGGTTCGTAGTTTAATGATAGATGAGTTGATTACTTTTAACAATGGTGCGGTTGACATTTTAACAGTGAGTAACTTCATAACTTAATTGTAGGTAGGGTAACAATTACAACAGTGAATGATTTGTTTTTATGATTTCAATGGCATTGGATTTATAATCTTAATAATGGGGTCTTGTTTATTTTTTTATTTTTTTTTCAAGAGTGAGGCCTGGCCTCGGCCTTTATTGAATAATTCTGCTTTACCTCTTTTTTACAATGGATTACATGAATTATTACAGGGATCTATAGCTAGGACTAGTATACCCTCAGTCCAAAATTCTACTAGAGTGGCCTATCAGACCCCTGCTAGATTTAGTGTTGCTATTTAAGGTGTATATGTTAGTGGTCGGGAATATCTCTGACAAATTTTGTAGGTGGGGCATTGTGGGGTGCGATAGTATAAGTGTTTGTTAATTGTTTGTTTTGATATATGGACTTATATGGGGTCTTTGCCTTGAAAATGACCTTACGGTATCATGTACCGTAAGGTCATTTTCACGGCAAAGACCCCATATTCGTTTTCTATATATTTTTTTTATAAACTTAGTAATTTTATTGCTAAATTTTTTATCTTATTTCTTCTGTTATTGATAATTTAATAAATTATATTATACAATAAAAAATAGGGAAATGATTTGTGTATGTCGGTTTCATGTAACATCAATTTTTTTTTAGCTAATAAAATTTGCTGCGCCCCAAAATCCGAAAATTTAGGGTACTATCGCTACAATTTTATTGGCCAAAAAAATTGATGTACGCTATGTTACACGAAACCGATAAACATAATATTGTATTCATATAATACAATAGAAAATAATTACATATATTCGATATTGTATTCATATAATACAATAGAAAATAATTACATATATTCGATATTGTATTCATAAAATACAATAGCAACTAATTACATATATTCGATGTTGTATTCATATAATACAATAGCAACTAATTACACATATTCGGCGTTGTATTCATAAAATACAATAGCAACTAGTTACATATATCCGATATTGTTTTCATAAAATACAATAGCAAATAATTACATATATCCGATATCGTATACAGGCTACGTATCACTTCATCGACACTCATTTTGTAAACATAACATTTCACCGGCAGAATTCACCGACATGTTTATTTCACCGACAATTATTTCACCAAAGCTCATCACCTAGACAAATTTTTTTATAAATTCCACTAACCTTAACTCTAATTCTAACTTGACCCTAACGACAATGATAAATCATTTTGTCGGTAAAATGAGTTTCGGTGAAATAAACTGTCGGTGAAATGGAAAATAAATGTCGGTGAATTGTTGTCGGTGAAATGTTATGTCTACGAAAGAAGTGTCGGTGAAGTGAGATGAACCGTTGTAATATATACCTATTTATATTAGGATTATACAATTATGCGTATATACATACATATTAGAATTCAAAGGGCTCTGTTATTGTCATTTAAACAATACTGGTATCATATAAACAATAAGCTATGCCTTGGATTTTGTAGACCTAACCAACTTTATAGCATTTTTGTAGCTGCAAACAGGGCTTAAAACATCATTATTTTCCGGCCATTCACTATGTCATTCTTAATCTATCAAAATATATTGGTGCAATAATAGCTATTGTTCTTTGGCCGCAATAACTATATGTTAAAATCAATTCTTTGAATGGCCAGAAAAACAATGACCTAATCTCACTTGACTTCACTACAAGTGACTTTCGATATAAGAAACCTTCGATATAAGAAACTCTTGATATAAGAAAGATTTTTTAAATCCCAATGGAAAATTTTATAATAAAAAGCCTTCGATATAAGAAAATCTCGATATAAGAAAGATTTTG